AACATGTACACAGGAGAAACACCTACCTGAAGCTCAACTACAGTGTTTGCCTGAGCCTGATACTCAAAAATGGATGTCGTGGTGTCATGTCAATGTTTGTAGTTGTCGATTCTTGGTCAAGGTCGAGAAATGGTTGACAAAGTGCAGACTGACCGTTGTACTTGGTGTTCGACTGGCGGTGTCATGGTACCGTGAACTGGGTCGAAAAATTCAGAGCGACTATAGTGAGCAAAGTTTTGCCTGTTTTTTCAAAAGTACTTTCCCTGGCGATATTGACAATCAGATTTTGGGCTTCTTGGCTGATTTTACAAGCCTTGGGATTTTTTCGGTTGCTGATGAGGCTAACTGGCTTACGCAGCGGCCCGTCCCCGAGTACGAACCCAGCAACCAAGAACAACCCCTCCCCCCCCTTTCTCGGAAGGGATTCTTCCAACGATGACGTAAGCTGGGCGAGTAGCCTGAGATACGCGCGCAGCTACAAGTTTTTCCCCTCTGTGACATTTCGTATATGTTATTTCATATATTTCGTTATTTTTTTATTTCTTCCCAATTCCAGCTGTCAAAATAAATTTTCGCATATTTCGGAAAACAGGCATCTTATATCTGGTTGGAAAAATAGACGAAATTACTGAGTTTCGGTGTAAAATAATGAAATGACGCGGAAGCTCCCACGCCGCAGCAGGAACTCTTTGTTAATATCCCTGCTCGTCTTTTTTTTGTCTACCATCAGTTTCCGGCACTGATTGTCTCTTACCGTATATCTTTGTCAGAGTGATTATCAGTTTTGTTCTTTCATCGAATCGGCCCAATCACTCCACAGACAAAAGATCACTTTGCTGCTTTTGAATTTAGAGTTCCTTGCAAGGTACTGTAGCTCTGGAAATCAATATGAATCAAAAAGTACTGCCCTGTGTGGTCTAGGTGAAACTATTTATTGTTGTTCTGGTATTTCATGTCGCTATCCCTCCATGCCGTTGGATCTGGAGGGAGGGAACATATGATGGGGGATTTTGAAGCGCCCTCCATGAAAGCTGGGTAAAATATTTACGAATTTACTATAAGGAATAATATAATAGTTGTGCATCTCATAGGGGTGGGGGTGCGAACCCCAACGAGAAACTTGGTCCCGTTGGGGGGGGGGGTGGCGGGTATGTGCCCTTATATGTTCACCCTCTACTTGGCGACGAAACTCTTTCTGATGGTCGATATGAGGTATCTGGTTATGTCACAAGACAATCGTAAAAGGCCGTTCTGGTGGGCGTGGCGAGCGAGGTGGCGTCCAGCGGGCGAGTTATCCTTTCTCTGGCCGTTCTGATCCGAAGATTTAGAAGTTTCGAGTCGCTCTCCATGTAGCCTTGTTTCCGCATGAAATTACAGGAGTTTCGTTGCACCGATCGGCATGGGGTACACCTTGCAAATTCGCCGCGCATCGCATCGCATCGATGGCCGCGCGCGACGATGCGATAAATACGAGTGTCTTGTCCGTCTCCGAGGTGTCACCCCGTCCACGCTCAACCTTGTACTCTCCAGAGATGTACCCCCGTCCAACCGCTCACGGGCAACAGTTCTCGCGAGAGACTGGTAAATGGTAGGTAGGTCTGTGAACGGGTGGCATACAGGAGTCTGTTTTTGGTGACCCCCCCCCATTTCATCGCCCTGGTGTGCAGGCTGTCTAAAAGTATTTCCATTCTTCCCATCTAGTTTTTGCCTAATTTTCTTCTGCTAAGCTTCTTCTAGTCGCCTTTACATAAAGGCAAGTGGGACGATAAATTCTCAAGACAGTTAGGAGTAATAAGCCTAACAGAACATGTTTCGGCTCCCCCCCCACGCACCACTAAGCGCAGGGCGCGTGCGTTTCTGCCAAGAAAGTGCCTTGATAGGCGACCCTATCAAGCGCAAGAAATACCGACGCGGAACCGACCCGACACGGCGCACCCCCGCCGCCACCTAATGTTCCGACCGATTCTGATGCTCGTTTCGCTTCATTTACAAATGAAGCGAAGGGGTTGATATGAAACGGATGCGGTGCTGCACGGATATGTGAGTACATACATGCAGCCGTACCCGCGTAGGCTTTATTTGCACGAATGCCAAGGGAACTCGTCCACAATTTGCATTTCTGAGCAGCGTAGATTAAGGGCTTTTTTCGCAAGTTTAGAGCGTTTCGCTCACTTTTTCCCGCATTTTCCCCACTAATACACCCGCCTCTAACCGTGCCTGGATTCAAGGACTCAAATTATCTGCGCTTATCCGTTCATGATTGGTTAATATAAATCATTGATTGGTTCATATATCAATCAATCTGTGTAACGACTTCTTTTACTGCATGATTTTCTTATAATCTCTTCCCAGTCAATGCATCACCCATTGTAATTCCGGTTTTGGAATTACTCCTGTAACATCGATGCTGCACATTACCATCGAGTAGACCCAGTTGGTCTCATTGGCGAACACTCGTCGACGCGATCGTGGTGAATGTCTCAGGCAGTGTGAGTGTGTGTGTGTGTTCCGGTTTTCGTCTCGTTGAGCGGGTGTTATCGGCATTCTGACGCGCTTTTGTATTTTATCACAACAATATGACATAAGCGGACACGTACATTCATAGGTGGTAAAGCAATCGATGTAACAGTAGTCATTACCAATTGAACGAATTGCCTAAAGCCAACGTGTTGCAGTGACCCTCGTGCGGACATTTTACCCCCCCCCCCACAGCGCTGTTCCTCTCTGCCATTCTCTCATTCATATTCCGCAGTCGCCATGATTTCTGGCTCGGAGGCATGAAATACGTGTTGCTGAAATTAGCATCACTATTACGGGTTGTTGACGTGTTTTCGAATTTTCATAGATTGTGAATGGATTACCCAGTAACTCCCCCTTCTAGTAATGACGTGTAGTTGCGCTGGAGATATTGGATGGATAGCTTTCGAATTACTCATTTATTTCTCTGGCTATGTAGAGGTCTGTAAGAAATTTGCAAACGTTTCGGTGTCCACCATCGATCGATACCTATGTAGGTCTTTGCGAACTGTTTTTTTTTCTTTCGTCTGGCGTTCACCAATGTTGATTGAATCTCTAAGTTTTTGTTTTGAAGTCTATCGTATTCAGTTCTATCGTATCTGTTCTAAAAAATTCAAGTACGTAACGTAAGGGAGTCATTTTCAAACCTGCTCTGCCTGGATACTAATGCTCTGGATTAATTTACGATTTTTCCCAGCATTAATTTTTTTCTTAATTTTTCTTAAAAACGCTATGAACGCCGGGGGGGGACGTAATGAGGTCAAATAGGTGACTACCCTGACCCACGGTTAATTGTGTTACCTAGGCTGACAGATTTCTTTTAATCCCAGATTATTTGGCTTCAGTTGAGGTGGTGACCGTTATTGAAATCTCGTCATGAGTAGATTGACCTAGCTCAATTCCGGGCGACTTTTCGTACTGCAGTAAAACTTTGAGTAATACTATGAGGAGTGTTCACACGTGGGCTTCTTTTGCTTTTTCCCGTTTCAAAGGCGCTATATGGAGCCTCCCTCCTCGCTCGACGTCATTTTTCGGGAACTTCTGGAAAACTGCCACAAAAGGCGGGAGAAGTTGAGAGAAAGTTCAGTGAAGAATGTTGGACAGGATTGGAATCGAGGACGGGGAAAAGGAGGGTTCGTACCTAAGGGAGAAAGAGAACTTCTCGAGGGGGAGTGAGGTGTTTTGGCAAAATTTTAATCCGACGATGAACAACAGAGATGAGAATTAGGAGCGCCACACACGTGCCATGATGGATCTTGTGTGGATCGCTTTTGTTTCTGCGTCATTGACGGCACTTGATGTGCACGTTTGAACTAAGTGCTAAATGAAGTAAAAGCTTGTCCACAAGTAGGGTAAGAGAGGGGTAATGCAATCTCGAGATCGATCTTCCGATAGTACCTCGGCATTTTTTGAAACGGCGTTGCGTGAAAAATCTGTTTTTGTTAAAAAATTTGCAGAACTTCTGGCAAATATCTTATGGGGGCGGTCCGGCACTTGGGGGGGGGAGAGGATGAGGTGTTGTGTGGGTGGGTGTTGTGTGCATTGCATTGCAAGAGTCAGCAGGTATTCTTCACAACATTTGAGAAGTATCTCAATGATTTTCTCTACAAATTTTTACTGGTATTGCTCATAACTTCACAAGGTTTCACGGATCTCATCATGATGTCTCGACACGACAATGACAACGAGAAGGGCACAAATTTCCCCCCCCTCCCCCCCCCCCCCGTCCCAAGCCAAACTGCGCCTTTGAATCAATAACTACACATGAAACATTAGAACTGTCGAAAAGCCGATTTTAAGGCTTGTTCTAAATCTTTTTTTGTACTCTGTGCTTGTCATTCACTAGAATGTCTCGTATAATCACAAACAAGATCTTCTTACTATACTTATTACCTCTTTTCCATCTTTGTCATAAACCTGGTTATAACTGATATTGGAAGCTGTGCGCTCATTGATTATGGAGTGCACGATTATTGATTAAAACACGCTTTTGATTTTCACACGTTTTTATCAGCGTTTTTAGTAGCCAAAATTAGCTTTGGACTTTCCAATTTAGTCCAAGAAAGGTTTACTAGTGTAAACATTGTCCAAGCGATATATCCCGTTCTTCTTGAGTTCCATCACAACTGTTTTCCCAATAATCTATAGCAGCGACGTTTTTGTTGGTTCGCCTGCAATCAGTTCTGCAAACTTCTCAAGCACATTCCACCCATTGTGCAATTTTTTTCTCGATTCAATTTTTTTTCTTCTTGAAAATTCCATTTATCAGATAATGTTGCTAGATGTGTCTAATTCCGTACGGTGCTCTACTATTTCTTCTCATCGCTTATCGAAACGCGACGGTTTCGCCTATCGGGCCATTGTGTGTGTGTCGTCGTCGTCTCCTGGTCTATAGCAGTCATCATTAGTGTTCTTGAAACGTAATTTACGTCTGTCTGCATCTAGAAAACGTTGGGCGCAAGTTCCGTGCCTTACAGTATCTGATGACAGCCGATGTAGTCAGTCATCCGCCAGTTAGTGCATCCGATTCTGGACGTTTCACATCAATTCGTACCGTACTCGGTGAATGGAAACAGCTATTTGATGGATGTAATTTTATCAAAAGGAAAGAGCGCAGGTTAGTGGTGGTAGTAGTAGTACTGTAAGGAACTAGTAGGATTATGGTTCTGTCACCTTAATTATGGTGATTTGCAAAAAAGGGAATCAAATTATATATACTGGCTGGTAAACAAGTATACAGGGCTGAAATTCTTATTCAAGGTTTTTGGTCAAGAGGTGCCACTAGCCCCCAAGTCTAGACGATGGCTACCATTCTTGACAGTTTTTGAAACTGAAAAACGTGATTACGGCCAGTATCATACTTACAGAGCTCGTCACTACCGAAGCTGGACGTCCTTCCTGCCCCAAACGCCTTAATTCTTATTTTTATTAGGCATTCATCTCGACTAGGCGCTACTTTGGGCTTTTATGTCCCTTTCCCCTGAAGAAGACCTAGGCATAGAACACAGACGATCAGAGTCGCAGAGAGATAGTCTCGCAGAGGAGGTGTGGTCTCTGCACTAAGCCTAAGGCTTGCTCATGAGGAAGGATAAGAATTTCTCAACGATCATAGGGCTTTGGAATAATCGATTATTGGTAACTAAAACATTTCTCACAGTTTTTAATAATTACTTTCGTCTGTCTGCAAGTAGAAAACGTTGGACGCAGGCTACGTGACCAGTTACGCACTCCAGGAAACTGTACGGTTATTGGTTATGGAATGCACGATTATCGATCGAGTGCACGTTCACTGATCTCATTAGGTTGCAACATTTATCCAGTGTTTTGTTGAGTAATTAAGCTGTAGATAAATTAAGTGAAGATGATCTAGCAATGCTTTTACAGTAGTCATTACTGCTATAACCCGCGTGATCAGACGCTACTATCGGAGTCATCGAGAGCTGTTGTCGGCCTTGATAATGTGCCTAATAAAAATAGCAGGAAACTGGACTGAGAAGAGAGTTGTTTTCCTGTGTGTTACCTGTGTTACACATGTGTTTTGTGTGCAACTGCAGCACGAGGCAATAGAAAGAGTACAATGAACAATTGATGAGATATACTACTTTTCTGCAATTTTGCTGAATTTTTGATATTTTTTATATTTGACCACTTATTTTCACATTTTCAGTCGATCACGGCGACGAGATGTCAAGGATGCGAAAACGAAACGTGTTGCAAGTGCATCAGTAGCACAACGGTCATCGACGAGGAAATCACAGTCGACCGAGTTGTGCGTGTGTGATTCTATAGAAGACCATGTGAGTACCAGTTACTTCTCTTTACAAGTAATCTCAACCGTTGTTTTCGCTAAAATCGCGTCTAGTTACTTGCCGCGTCTCCTTTACTCAAAAAATGGCGCCGAAAACAGCTTTGTGTATGACTGTGAAGTAGAAGGGGGTGTTTTCACTAACAAATTGTTTTCGGTTCGATTTCATCTGATAGAAAAACTCACCAGTCAATGGCGTTGTTGTTGTTGTTGTCATCGCAACCGTTGGGAGTCATGGTTTTGCTTACTTGTTATGCCTTATTTTAATTGGATTCATTAACGCATTCAAATGCGTTCCGTATGAAATAACCAAATCAGCTGGAATGCTGTACATATAGACAGCTCATTTGTGCGGCTATGGTGTTGTTTGGCGCAATCCAAGAAAGTGTACGATTATCGATCGTAGCGTGTACGACTACTGATCGGGTGTACGATTATTGATTGTGAGTGTACGGCTATTGATCGAGTGTACGATTATTGATAGAATCGGCCATTCGACCAACCACGACTTATCTCGGTTGAGTGACCCATCTGTGGATATGGAGGGGAGGGGGGGTGAGATTTTTTGATCAGTGATATTCCTCATGTAGAAGTAACTCCACCGATCCTGTACAAATACTTTGCGTTGAAGCTGAACTGCTTTCGCATTGTGGTTTGGGGATCGGTTATCATTTGCCGTAGAATTTTGTTAATATTGTGAACTGTTGAGTTTTGAAGTTATTAATATTTTCAGGTAATCGAGAAATTCACCGCGCTCCCTCCTGGCATAGATCCTCGGGAATGGCTGGCAACACATAGTGAGTAATTTTACTTCTTCAGCTTTGAAATTCATGATTGATCAGTGTGGTTGTTTCACAGTTAGTTTTTTTTTTCGTCTGAAGTGTCGGTGTTTTTGGACGACGCGCTTGTTTGGGTGTGCGAGTCATAATTCTGGATCGAAAGAATTGTGATTCTAACGGTCCTGCAGGAAGTGTACTTAAGCTTTTACTCACTTAGATTTACTTGAAAACCCATAAAAGCATGAGTAGTAGTGCAGTTCGCGTCGACAGAAGCTATCGATTGTGGTTTTGGATACTTGATCAATTCATGCCCTTAGCTTGAAGCGAAAGTGGTGTAGTGCCAAGTGGCCCGATTACAACGCACGCGGTCCAGGGATCAAATCCCGACTTGGCTCCCGCCCAGGCCAACCAAGCCTTCTACCCTCCGGGGACGGTAAATTGGTACCAGATTCGTCTGGGAGGATAAAACACTGACCTGTACATCGGCTGGCCCCTGCGAGTCAGGCCCACATCGGTACAGGCCATATCGCATCCAGTAAGCCGCGATTCCGAGTGGAAATAGAATGCGTGCCGCATCCTAGAAAGGGGTTGATCAGCTGCGACGACTTCTTTGACGTTTACCCTTCGCCCGGCGTTGTTTGGTTTCTACATATCAGCTGTTTCGCTTCCCGATTAAGCAAAAGGATGCTAGCCTTTTTTGTGTCCTAGGAAGTTGAACTCTCAAATGAAAAGGCTCTTAGAATATTTTGTTAGAAGGGATGATTCTGTTACCATGGAGTACATCACCACAAGTTTCCCTTTTTTACTACATATTTTCCTGATGTAATTTGCAGCGCTATACACCACCTAGCATACTGGTAGTTCTGTTTGTATCAACGCTCTCACCTAGGTAGACGGAACGGCGCCTTCGGTCTATGATATGTGATAGAGCAATAAGTCTAGGTACAGTCGTAAATCAACGTTTCCAAGGGATTTCTTTTCCACTTCTCATTGTGCAAAGAAAAAAGAGCGGAACAGGGTGATTAACGCTGCAGTCTTATCGTAATCCGCATTTCCGGCAGTGCGCTGACAGGCGATCGGTCCTGTTTGGCTCAAGATGTTTGAGCGTTGGTTGTTTGATGTTCTGCGGCGATCGTGCGACGTCCAAATGTTCTACGATTGTAAACTGAACTGCCCATTGTTGCAGCATTACAAGGGAATTTTTTCCACATATTTTGTCGGACCAGTTACCACCCACGCGGTTTAGGGGACAAATCCCCGATGGGCTCCCACCCAGGCCAACCAACTTTCTTCCCTACGGTAGCGGTAAAATGGTGCCGCTTTCGTCTGGGGAGATAAGTACACGGACTTGTGCATTGACTGGTCCCCGTAAGTCATTTTGTAAGCCGGTACGATACTGCATGGAAGTAGAATTCGTGGCGCACCCCAAAAAGGTATTGATCAAGGCTTTTATCCTTAACTCTTCATAATTCATAGCTCCAAAGGATTTAGGAGCAAGCTTCAAGGTAGATTCCCATTGAAATAAGAA